GGGCCCCCCAGCAGCCTAGGCCTATAGCAGCATAACTAAGGGAAGGCTCAGGGTCACCTGGTCCAGCCCTAACTATAAGCTTTATCAAAAAGGAACGTCTTAAGTCTAATCTTAAAGGTAGAGAGGGTGTCCGCCTCCCGAACTGAGACTGGGAGTTGGTTCCATAGGAGAGGAGCTTGATAGCTAAAGGCTCAGCCTCCCATTCTGCTTCTGTGGACTCTAGGAACCACAAGTAAACCTGCACTCTGAGAGCAAAGTGCTCTGTTAGGATGATAAGGCTCTACGAGGTCTTTAAGATACGATGGAGCCTTGTCATTAACATTACTCTGGCTGCAGCATTTTGGATTAGCTGGAGGCTTTTTAGGGAATTATTGGGATATACTTATAGTAAAGAGTTACAGTAGTCCAGCCTGGAAGTAACAAATGCATGGACCAGTTTTTCAGCATCACTTTGGGACAGGATGCTCCTGATTTTTGCAATATTGCGCAGGTGAAAGAAGGCAGATCTAGAGACTTGGTTTATGTGTGATTTAAAGGACATATTCTGATCAAAGATGACTCCAAGGTTCCTCACAGTAGTACTGGAGGCAAGAGCTATGTCATCTAAAGTAACTATATGATTAGACAGCAGATTTCTAAGGTTTTCAGGCCCAAGCACAATAACTTCAGTTTTGTCAGAGTTTAGAAGTAAGAAGTTGCAGGATAGAAAGGCGCTATACAAGTATAAGACCATTTACCATACTTAATTCTACGTGACACCTCAACACTGCCTTATCATTTCACTGCCAATGTGTTGGTATGCACGTGCACCAGTGATGACTCAGTGCACTGCTCTGACAGCACAAACTACACAGATGGCAGTCAAAGGAAATGTGCACAATGGGCTTGCATCCAGGCCTTTATGTCTTTAAGACATGCTTGAAGTTTGACCAGCTGACCTGATTCGTTTGGCTTCATAGATAAATATAACTGAGTATCATCTGCATAGCAATGGAAATTTATGTTGTGCTTCCTGATAATATTGCCTAAAGGGAGCATGTATAAAGTGAAGAGAATTGGACCTAACACAGAGCCCTGTGGAACGCCGTGACTAACTTCAGTTTGTGTGGAACATTCATCATTAACATGAACAAATTGAAATCTTTCTGATAAATAAGATTTGAACCAACTTAGCACAGTTCCTTTAATCCCAATAACATGTTCAAGTCTCTGCAGTAAGATGCTGTGATCAATGGTGTCAAAAGCAGCAATGAGATCTAGGAGGACAAGTATGGAGACAAGTCCTGTGTCCGAGGCTAGGAGAAGATCATTGGTGACTTTCACCAATGCGGTTTCTGTACTATGATGGACTCTAAATCCTGACTGAAAATCCTCAAACAAATCATTCTTGTGCAAGTGGTCACATAACTGCTTTGCAACAGCTTTTTCAAGGATTTTGGAAATAAATGGGAGAGTGGATATTGGTCTATAATTAGCTAGGACACCTGGGTCAAGAGTAGGCTTTTTGAGTAGAGGTTTAATTACTGCAAGTTCAAAACCCTGTGGAACATAACCTGTTAATAGAGAGAGGTTAATCAGATCTAGTATGGATGTGTTGATTAGGGGAAAGACATCTTTGAGCAGCCTGGTCGGGATGGGGTCCAGGAGACATGTTGATGATTTAGATGAAGCAATTGTTGAGGTCAACTCAAAGAGATCTATAGGGGAGAAGTAGTCCAAGTATAAATGAGGTCTTACAGATGTTTCTAAAGCCATTGTAGTAGATGGCACATCCGCGAGAGCTGTGGGAGTGGTC